CTACCATTGTATCCCCTTCACCAGGTTCCCCTTGTATTCTAACCCAGAGGGTCTCCAGTCACCCTCCTTAGGTGCCAATCTCAGCTTTTAGGGGCGTGTAGCTCTCCTACACACAGAGAGCTACACCCTTGCCCCTGTTTTGAGCATGATCTCTCCTGTACAGGGTATAGCCATCTATCTTAGGGATGGTCCTACTTTGAGCAGGAGGGGGTTGGACTAGATGACATCCTGAGGTAGTAAGCCTTCATGAACTCCAGCCCAGGGGCTAGAATACTGGCCATGAAGAGTCATCTGCAGTCTAGCATCCTACCAGAGCTTTAAGGACTAAAGAAAATTCAATACCCTTTCAAGTACTACTTTCTCCCCCATACAAAAGTCTTAATTTGAGAAACAGCTACAACACCTCTTGACTTCAAAGGAGGTGCAAACAGTTAAAAGACCAGACTGAAAGCTGATTTACTCCAGCTTAGTGCATTTCAGACTGGGTCAGAGACTTCCTGGCACTCAGAAGCAGCACAAATGATGTATATAAAAGAGAGATTCTTACATTTTCTCTACTGTTCCCAAGGTGAAAGCAATTTACATGCATTGTCCTCAGAGGCAATGAAAAGCAAAAAATATTTACTGCAATTTGAGTCAAAAAATGACCAGGGCTTCACACTTACTGGTATACAAAACTCATTTCAAGAATCTTACTCATCAGTAGAGTTTGCCAAAGCGATTCTGTGACTTTGACCATATTGGTAATGGGATTTCAACATTTAAATGCTATTAATATGGTTATTCCTGGCTTATTTTAGGAAATGGCTTGGGCTAGGTGGGTGTAGCTTAAACACCTGCAAGATTAAGAGCCCGTTTATGTTTCCATGGTTCAAGGTTAAGCACTACATTCCCACTCATTGCTGAGTCTGCCTCTCTCAAAAGCCATGCCAGGTAATGAGAAACATTATAACTATTATTAGATCATAATATTATTATAGCATTTTGGCTACACTTGACATCTGTTGGCTGATAGATTTAACTAGTACAGAAGAAATAATTAATTGCAGATTCCTCACAAACGAGCAACAGTGTGGAAGACATTGTTTCACACTGAAAAAAGTTAATTTTATGGAAACATGCCTGAAATAAAAATTCTAAAATTAAACAATGAAACTTTTACAAACCGCTGCTAAATAAAATAGTGTACATTAAACAAACTGTTGTTAAAAATTATGATACTCTTTGGAGAGTTGCAGATATCTGACCCACCATCTCTCAAAGACCATTATACACCATTCAGCAGAACTTTGGGAACAATGGGTTGCTCCTTCCTCCCAACCCACTGACCCAGAGGTTTTTAAAGGAAAAGTACCTCCCCCTTTCTTTGAAGACGCAGGCTTTATAAATCACTTTGGAAAGATTCTGACTGTGCAGGTAGTTCCATTCCTTCCACTGAGCCCAAAGCGCTGTAAAAACTATATGCAAGATGCAATTCATCCAACAGTGAGATTCAACCACAGATGGAACGGAACAGAAAAGCTTAACAGGATTCCATTACACTAAACAGACCTTAGATAAGTAGTAAAGAATCCAACAGAAACCACAGAGATTATTTAAGGAAGCAGAATCTTAATTTCACAAATGGGAACGTGGTCAAGATATGCCATGTTTGTATAAAAGGCAAGGACTTTTTATACAGAAGTGCACTAGCTCTCAATTTTACATCTCTTCAAAAATACAGCATTATACTGTCCCATTACACCATACTTTGGCAATGGGTAACAACAGACTGAAAGGCGATATCACCATCTGCTATTTCTCCTTCAGGCTCCCCAACATTCTCAAATATAGCTTGTGACAGGAGAAGGAAATGTGAATAAGTGGACAGTCAGCTTCAGTGCAGGAAAGCTAAAAAGCCAGATCCTGTTATAGTCAATAACTCTGCCACTGACTTCAGTGAGTC